CAGTGGCGTCGCTAGGCGTCAGCGATGTCGGCGACCGCCGACGGCCTCGCGCCCGCAGGGGCCTCGCAAAAAGTTACCGACTGTGGATTCTAAGCACTTAATAAATATTTTGAGCAATTTGGTTTGATAATGGCATTAACTATATTCGAAGTATTCCCTAATGTTTATATAGTAATCAGATTCATGTTCACAGTTCCAGTCAGTATAGCTTCGACGAAAAGAAAGAAGCAAAGTTAAAATTGTTTAAGACGTACTAGAAAAATATGATGGTCCAAGAGAGACTATCTTCATTATGATATAATTTAAAAAAAAATAGGGTGATACTAAAAGTAGGAAAATTCATTTATTTTAATTTGTGTTTATTTTAAATTGATTAGCAAAAAACTTTCAATCATGCTTTGTCGTATTAGTGAATGTAACTTATTTACTTTTACAACTGGGTTATAAAGGGGGCCTCGCAATTCTGATGTCGCCGACGTGGAGAGTTGGTCTAGCTCCGCCACTGTTTGTGTTAGCCTTAGTGGCTTTGTAATGCACCCATCGTTCACAAAGTAGGGTGAATGGGGATACATAATTGTTCAATTATGAATATTAAAGAATACTAATTATTATTAATAAAATTTGGAATACTATATAGCATTGCTTAGCAAGTCTATTGTTTTAATTCCAGTTGTTTTTTTTAATGAACCCACCGTCCAAAGTGGGTTTTGTATTTAGTCATATATTATAAGAGTCAACAAGTCTGCTTTCTAGATGAATATTTACAACTCTTCGGTTTATGGCATTCATAAAGAATGTATTCAAACGTTTCAACAAATATTTCACAAAAGTGATTAATACTGGTTGCTATAAATAATGTGCATAAGTCTATTTTGTTGAGATAATAACTTAGTCAGCAGTGTCCTGTGCCCGGTAAAAATCTCTGTACTCAGTGTAAGAAAATTATTTGAGACAGCCTTTAAAGAGAATAATAACACACACAGTAATAATAAAATAATATGTATTTTTAATGATGATATCAAAGTTATATCTATCGAATTACAAAAACAAACTGCAATTGATCTTAAGTAAAGAAACACATTCGAATATAGCTATAGACTGTTCAGTTCTGCCCTACTAGAAGCCAGCACCCCGTATATATTCTATTCTATTCTATTTTAGCTAGAGATTAGAGATTGAAAACACAAATTATTTCTAACAAGATTGTTTGTTAATGAAATATCTATGGGTTGGGTTTTCATTGGCAAAATATTAGATTACATATATTAATTTTGTAAATTAATTTTGCTCATTTTATAATTTTTATGCGCTTAGAAATTATAACCTTTTGACAACTTCGATAACCTAAAAAAAAAGAGTAATACCTGTTATCGCATTACTTAATACCGAGATCGAGTTAGGTTCAAGTGCAGCGTGAAAACACTATTTTAAAACTATTTATATTTAATCTAATGTGTATTAGAGCATATAATTACGTTATTTGAGAGTGATTTTTAAAACACTATTAAATATTCCCTATACATTATAGGTTGAAAATTCAAAGACTGCATATACTTGCGTTAAAGTTCAGTTCAAAACAGAAAAACCCCTTCAACGTATGTTTTAATTCAATATATTAGAAATATTTAATTGTTAATATTAACAACCTTTTTTAAAATTATTCCACAAATTTGTGTTTTGAATGTAATTATAATTAAGACATACACATTAATAATTTGCATCAAGCTGTTATATAATTACATAGTAAATATAATTTCAGTTTTATTCAAAGTCATGGGATAGTGTTAAATTTTTCATTAAAAAATAAATTTAAAAAATAATTAAATATCAAAAAAATGAACCTGTTGCAAAAAAAAATTGTTTAATGATTTATTACCTAATATTTTATAAAACAAAAATGCTTTGATATCTATATAAGTGTATATATATTAAATGATATAAAATTATAAATTTAATTGATTTTTTACTTTTTTGTTTTGATTTTGTTTATATCTCTACATTCGTCTATAAGACATAATATATAATAACTTTGCTTTTTACATAATATATAAAAATAAAATTTATGATGATGTAAAAATTTTGTAATAATTTATACTATTATAGCAATACTATTTTAACTTCTTTTATCAATTAGAAAAGATATCTTAGCATGTATAAAATATTCAGTAGTTCATGAACTTATAAAAAAATAAATTTGAAAAATGTATCCATAAATTAAAAATATCAAAACTGGATAGATTTTAACTTATAGTCTTGATTTTACAACTAAACAGTTGATGTATATATATGTTTTATATACAATAAAACTATTAGTTCCATATTTCTACTATCTATCAAATATTTTATTTGTATATAAACAACAGGTTTACGATTTCGCTAAAGCAGTACTCTGAAATTCACCTTTGGGATATTGGTAGACCTTTTCCAAGGGCCAAACTGGTAAATAAACGGAAATATCTGGGGTTCACACTAAAATATTGGGTGAATACATTCTTGTGAGTTCACAAGTTTCACCTCAATACTCACTGAGTATAACAATTTCGGTGCAAGCAGGCCACTATATATTGGGAAAGTATGCAATTAAACTTCATTTAATGACTTTTGTCGAGTCTAATGACTCTGTAAATAATAAGAAAAATTTACTCCATTACATGTGTAACTGCCCAACTTTGCCTAGAAAAAGATTAATAAACTTTAGAAACCTTTTTTAACCGACCTGACAGCGCTTTAAAGATTTGTCAACTTGTTTCCCTTCTAATTGAATTGGGAAAACTGGCCCCTCTCAAAAGGACGCTGTTCATGCTCGAGGTGCTTTTTTTTAATAGACCTAATAGAACTGCCATTCTTTAAAATTAAAGCCATAGTCAGCTTTATTCACTTTTTAGATTAGTTCCCCTCCACTGAAATGGTGGAGTTATGCCTTCTTAAAAAACGCTGTTCGTGGTCTATATGCCTCTAACATATTCTTCTAACTTTAGGGTGCTTTTTCAGGCTGACATATGAACTGTATCTCATCCATGGTATCACAACGGAGCATCCTTTGTGTTCAAGTTAGTTTTCGTGCACAAGATTGCCTAATCTAGATCTATAACCTAATCTAACCGAAGAATACGTATTAATGCAAATTCATAATATACTCGATACATTATTGAGGGT